ATTAGTTACATATTCTAGATTGTTACCAATTTGTACTAGTCAAAATATGTGCGTAAACATACTTCAGTCAATATAAAATCAAAATGAATTCAAAATATTCGTATTTAATATTGACTACGGAGATTGAAGGACATCAGTTCAAATTTTGTAATGGTGTCTTATGTATTATATACATGAAACTTAGAAATTATTCTTGGATCTGAACGCAGGTTGTCCCCCCACCCGATAAGACATCTTCCTAATATGAGATTTCGCAATCAGTCAAATCTATTACCATGTCAATAATCTAACAGGAGTGTGGAAAGTAACTTTCTTCGAACGTTTTTTTTCCATAGATTACAATCTCTGGCTAAAAAATCACCATACCTTGTTTTCTTGTCTTCCTATTTTGTTTAGTTATAAAATCAGCATTACCCTTAAGTAATACTTATTTGATGAGTCATATCACAGTTGTGATTCATACTGCTTTGTAGTTTGCAATAAGAACAATGCATCTATTATGCTGAGTCAGTCTGGAAAAACAAGTCGCTGTTTTTGCTTTGAGAAAGGGATTGATAAACAGACAAACATGAATTTCAGACAAACGGTGACTCATTTAAAGTAGTTTAACTTGATGCCAAAATTATCTGATTGGTTATTAAAAATAACAAATCAAATGGATACATACATACGCTCCATCAAAATGCTAATCATTAGATTAATACCATAAGTATGTTAATGTCCCACTGCGAGACAACAATGTCACCTAACTATATATATATATATATATATTATATATATATATATATATATATATATATAGCCAAGCAGTTAGGAATGAAACTGGTTAGTCAAACGATATTGACCAGCTGAGAATAGGAAGCTGTGGAGTTTGTTAATTTATGTAGTTATACACCACGGAATGGCTTAAAAAAGCAATGAATGAAGTGTATTCTTAATTTGTAGTGGTTATCAAACAGTCATGATTTAAAACTACAAAATATTGACCGTATTTTCCTGGTAGTATACAGGATTTAGAACAAGTGATTTCTAATTTTGAATAACGAATATATTACAGTGGAAGAATGTTACGTATATATATATATATATATATATATATATATATATATATATATATTTGTATGTATGTATGTATCAATCCCTAAGAAATGACTGTGTGAAAACTAACCACAAAGAACCAGTTATTGACATGATCCCTATAAATAAACAGATATTTAAGACAGTATAAAAAGGATTCTAATGTGCACGTAAACTCATACGTAATAATGCATGGAAATTAAATAAATTCTAATGAATAAACCTATTCAAAAATTGATCACATTTTCTATTTGGTCCTCACTGTAAGAGTCAATATGGCAGATTTGTTTTGAATGTGTAGATTTAAGTCAAATCCTATAAGTTAATTGGTATTTCGTTTAATCCAACAGTATTGAATGAGATAATTATCATTTATCATTGACAGGTGAGATGAATAATTCATATGACAGTTTAAAGATGAATAAGTTCACGTTGTTTTTGTTGAGGTAACAAATCAGCAACAACATTACGATACAATGTTACGATATTAACGGTCATTTTGTTCAAAGTTATGAAAAATGTTCTTGAATATTTTTATGTTTATTATTCCTTCAGAAGTGTTTTTATTGATAACTATCAGAAGTTATCTTTCTATAATAAACCTAAACATTTTATTTCATGTATGTTGAATTCTGTTAATTGTAAACATGACATTAAATAAACATAGATACTTTGTCTAGACAATGATTAAACTTATACGTTGATCAATTTTTCGAGATGTTTATGATAGTTACTAATGGTTATTACATAAAATGTAATACTCTCTTATTTTTTACAATTATAATAATTTGTTACGGTACGCTATACATAAATCTTACTCTCTTATCGATCTATGCACTGTCGTCGAATTTATTTACTTATTGTCAGTCATACGTAATCAACAAATCTGATTTTATGTAGCATACTCTATATCGAATTTATTCATTTCAAACTTTTTGTACAAAAGCTTGAATTCACTGGATTTTTTTATGCGAACCCATCTGTACCTAGGGTAAAGCGATAAAATAAACTGTAGATAAATAACGTTTGTATTTTACGGCTGATTCCAATAAACATATAGATTAGAAACCAGTTAAGTTAATCGTGAACAAGTTGATCTCGTGTGCTGTAAGGGGTATATGTCGAATGCTATTACCAGTTCACCTTACTGGGCAAACGGAACGAAGATCGACGATAACCTAAACACACAAATCAAACTTATTTATACAATGATAGAAACGTCCTTGGAAGAGCCACAAATTAGCGTACTAAAATGATCCATCAACCAATGACAGTCAAGGATTTTCCGAGGGAGAAATGTAAGCTGTAGGTCAACTGGTGCAAAAACACGGAAATTCAAAATCTCAGAATAAAATTACGAAATTAGGACCTTTCCAATAGGGTTCTGGTGATCTAACGTCCCCAACAAAGGTTTATGAGAGTGGCTGTCACTTCCAGACTGCCCATATCATAGAAAGGTATTTCTTGGGGAACCTGCAAAGGAAGCTGGGTTAATGTTGGTCTTAGTAACCTGAGAGTGTGGCTGCAGACCATAAAGGACAACTGCTTGAGGCCAGTCGCGCTCGGCTTATTTATGAGTTTCTAAGGTGTAAATCCTTAGCATGTTCACCTTACCACCGAAGATGGAAATCCGTGGGTTGAGATGGTGTGCCATTTTCAGGCTCGACCTTTCCTAATAGCTTTCTTATGTTGGGAGAAGGCAATATTGCTGTAGATGCTGGTTGTCAAAGGGAAACACTCCTCCATAGTCTTAGCATTACGATTTCGTCTGACCTTATTTTTTTTGCTTTTAGTTTTGCTATTCTCCAATTCGCCGGAATGGCATTGTAGGACCCAAAGTAACTCTTGTTCCAGCTAATATAGCTCGATTAGGCAAGCCCAACTGTCACGTCAAGGTAACAGTGACGGCTAGGATGAAACCGATTGATTGTAGATTCAAACAGAAACATTTACGGGTTGTTTGTTTAAGTTAATGATATTATCAAACCTTAACCAAATGAATTCACAGTGGGAAAAAAAAAATTTACATCAAAAACAAAATGAAATCCACTGCTTCGTATCCATATTAAGAGATGTCACAACGTTAATTATTGCCAAGAGGTCTTCTGATTAATGTCAGTTCATGTCGGTATTTTCTTCATAACATATTGAGGTATTTATTCAGTAGTAGTTAATGGTTGGCAAATAAATTGTTTATTCAGATGAATGTTGAAGGAAGCTGTTTAAAAATTATTATACCATGCATCTTATTTATGATACTATGGTTACTTATGTTAAAGCATTGAACCTCCGGACACTGAATCCTAGATTTAAACTAATCTATTTAGTTTCTCGGATCTTTAGACCTCAATTTAAAGTGGGTAACTCGAATCGGACTACACAAACAAGTACTTGTTTATTAAGTCGCACTGTGATCTATCATTCACAACAATGATATACTTTTCCCCTCATATTGTATTTACCGTTATCATGTGTGGGTGTGAAATATCTTGTGTTATTATGTAAACTATATTTTTTAAATGGATTTGTCACAGACTGATTTCAATTGGAGTGGTGTTGAAAACCTGAGATCATCGAAGAGCTGTTTCATCCTAGTTCAGAACTTTACAAAGTTGTTTATCTATTACCCTTTCAAGCATCTAACCCGATATCTAAAGGTCTTGGGGCTAATGTTTAACCCGACTGGGATCAATCTGTGACGTAAACAACGTACAAATTATATCAGTCTCCACAAAACCGCTTCAATTAAATTATATTTTTAATTTTCGATTGATTGCTCATTATTTGCTATTGTCACACAACAGCTTTAGGAAATATTTTGTTTTTAAGCATTAGTTACAATTCCCTAGATTTGTTGCAGGTTCCGCCTTCTAAATTCCATAGGTAACAAATTGATTGATCTATTGCATAGGTGAATTATCAGTTCCATTACATCAGTCATACTAGTGATTCTATAAATTTAATCCTTTCATCATAACAGCTAAGATTTTGTTTATCATGGTAAATGAAATAACGTTTTTCAATTTTATTATAATTAATATATAAACATTTTTACCCTCGTTTAACATCACCAATGTTTTTTTTTGAAAATTGTCTCTCTATAGAGGAAGTTCGTTGTTCTGGTAAAACTGTTCTTGTTCATTGTCAAGCCGGAGTATCCAGATCGCCAGCATTAATTATTGCCTATTTAATGACTTATTCAAGCCTGTCACTACTCGATGCTTATCAATATGTGAAATCGAAACGTTCGGTGATTGCACCAAATTTCGCTTTTATGGGACAATTATATGAGTTGGAGTCGAATTTGACATCTGGTCGATTATTAAGACAATCGGACGTATTAGATCCAATGTTAAGAGCTAATTAATCACAATTATTGTTATTATTGATAATATCGAATTCAGTACTACCTGTCTTTTTGTTTATCCAGTTATCATACTTTTTCACTGAATTATTTGTGCCGTTTGTAAGTCAGTGGTATACACCAGTATGTGGAATGGGGAATTTGTAAATACTATTCGTACCTCAGTCAGGCTGTAAATCAGGTAAAATACATGCTACTGCTATTTTCATCTCATACAACAAGCTTATTCTGTTTTTTATCTATAAATGAATTCACAGGTTCAATGTAAAACTTTCTCCTAGTATATTGTTACTATTTGTCAATTTTAAAATGCTTTGTTTATTTTCTCACATTCACCTCATTGTCTTTTTTTTGGAAAAATAATTGTTAGCAGGATACATTAGTTTTCAGATGATATTTTTATTCAGATTTCAATATTTTTGAAAGAGAAAGAAGATTACAACTTTTGTTTTAATTTTGCTGTTTTGTTTAAACGAATTCAGCATTTTGTTTTGATGATTTTCATTTAAGTTTATGTGAATGGATTTTGTTATCTTCAATTATAATTTGGTTGTTATTATTAATGGTATTGTACAAAGTATGAATTTACGCTTGTTTGTCTGCTTGTGCCCGTGTGCGTGTGTGTGGACAATCAGTTTACTTTTATGATTTTTTTGAAATATCAATTTGAATTCTATTGTTGTTTATAACGATTATTACTAAGGCAAGGTTATCAAGAAATACAATTTCCTGAATTGGGTGGGTTTTAAGGAGATCACGGGATTATCCATTTTTCGTTAATAAATGTTAAGCTTGTGTTAGGGACAAAAATTATCTGTGCTTCCTTCCTAATTCATATTTCCTCGCAACCTTTACTGCTTTCTGATTGATTGTTACTATTTTCAGTTTAACTACTTTCTGTGCCCGGAGGTCAAAATCTTGTTACTATGATGATTTGTGCGCTTTCAACTTAGTAACTTGAATGTGAAGTTTCCTTCACTTCCGTCTTTTTCCTTTGTTTCTTCATGATACTATTGAAGTGTTTTGTGACTATTGCTGTTTAATCGAGTCCTCCATAAGACACTTTCATAAAAAATTAGCTCAGTCGTTTTGTAATTAGCAATTACCGTACACCCGTATAAGATCCATTCTCAAGATGTAGAAGTAAGATAAGTTTTGGATGGTTGGAAATGGTCGTCAGAAAAACGTTTCGAAGTTTCGTGCTAGTTGGGACTCGTCATAAAGATGTGCCTAGAATCCTGAGGACACGCATTCTTGCTGTGGGACTCAAACCCACGGTTTTGTCTAGCAACCGCAGAATACTGTCACATGACAAGCCACTAATCACAATCTTGATAATAATTCGGTCTGTTTCTCACCGACTATTAACTCTGAGACTTCATGTCTCGGACTTGACCGGTTACACGTTCGACCAACAGCATCAACCTTCGATCAGTATCTAAGCTCTTATTGGAGTATAATTCACAAGCTTCTCTTTACTCCCCACCCATGAGTTTAAAAGTCAGCAACCAGCATGTACTATACATATATTTCAGCCAAATGTAGCTTATATACAGACATACTTTATCACACCATAGAATAAAAAATAACAATTATATGTGAATAAGCCAGAAAGTAACTCCCCCAGTAG